CAGAAGAATGACCTTCAGCAGTTGAAGCAAAAACAACCTTTAATTCATCAAGTGTAACAATATGCTTTAATTGGCCATGTGAAACAAGAATGAATACCTATTATTTATGAGTTATTTAATTCTAAATATGATTAGGGTTATAACACTCCTAATCACTTAAAATAATCAAAAAAATATTATGACAATTGTTGTTTAGTGAAAAAACAAACATCTCCTTCAATTTTAGTCACTTTAAATGTACCATCATAACTGCAGGTCTTTGGAGTTTGAGGGTCTTGAATAATTTCTTTCATTCGGTCTTTTCCCCACTTTGAAAAGTCACGTTCTTCAAAACTCCAATTTCCACTGATCTTATTCCACTCACTCATTTTAGGTACTGATCTTAAAGTTTATAGTTGCTTTTATTTCTTTATGCCACGTAAAGATGTGTTGGTCTTTGTTTGGTAAACACATCATTTTTAGTTGGCATTTTTTGTTTTATAAAATAGAAAACAAAATTTGATTCTTCATTTAGAACAAGATGTTTCTGACCTATTTTTATAATACCATTATTTGTTTGTGTTATAAAACAATAATGTAATATACACGCTGTGAATAATAACACCATCTAAAGTTATTGACGTTTGTTTTTATTAAAGTACAATCGAGTAGTTATGTAAAATTTAATCAATTTCATTCTTTAAAATATTCAGTGAAAAACATTTTTATATTTTTATGAAAAGAATAATCTAAAAAAAGTTATAAATAACATAAATATTAAAAATGTGTTATTAGTATATTAAGTTATTAAGCTTAAACAATAAAATTAAATTAATAATTATGTGACATAGAGAAAGTAAAATAATCTTAGTCATTTTCTTCATCTATTTCATTTAATGAGAAGAATGAAAATAAGTATTCTTTATATTGTTTCCAGTTTACTGATAATGTATCATCAAATACCATTCCATCAAATGAATAAATCATTGGTGTTAAATATTCTTTTTTCATGATATCAGCAAATTTAGAAGTTCTTTGTCCAATATGATTCAATACAATAACTTTGTTATTGCAATCTTTTAATACTGACTCTATTTGAGACGGTGTTGAATGTGTTCTACTAACGGCTTCACTTTCCATTCCATCTTCGAAATTACATTCATGAACAACATAATCGGCATTCATGCATAACTTTTTATCATTTAAACAAGGTAATGTATCTCCAGTAAAGACAACAGAAGTTCCATTAATTTCAAATCGTATTCCATAATTTTCAGCTTGATGATTTAATTTAACAGTAATAATATGAGCACCTATTGTATTTTCTATGTTTTGAATAATAGAATCTTTATCTATATCAACACAATCATCAGAAAATATATTATTATTAATAAAATTGATTTTTATATGATAGTGTTGGCATAATAAGTTAAGTCCTTTTTCCATTGACCGTGGACCGATAATAGTGAGTGGTTTAGTTCTCATTTTTAGTAATGACATAATTCCAAAAATATGATCTCCATGGTTGTGTGTTACGTACAACATATTAATATCATCTGGATGAATTCCAGAATTAACAACTTGGTATGCAATACACTCTCCACAATCAATCATTACAGTTGTTTTATTAAATCGGATTATTTCACCTGAAACATTTCTTGATTTTCCAGGAACAGCCCCACCAGTTCCAAGTAATATTACTTGGAACTTATTTCCTAAAGGAGAATAAAGTGGTTGGTTTTGAGGAAGAGTAAAGGTTTGTTCTCTTTTGATTAGTGTATATTTAATTTTAGGATATATTGTATACTGTACTAATGATGGAGTGTTCTCAAAGTATTTACAATCATTTGTTGGTGTATAAAGTGGAACTGTTTTTGTTCTAATAAAAGATGGAGCGTTTTGTGGAAGAATTGAACTTATTGATTTGTGTAATTCACTAGTCATTCTAAAAGAAGTATATTGTAAATTCTTAATTATTTCATGAGCTGAAGAAGAAACTCTATCTTTTAAGAAAAGAATTAATGATGTTGAGTGCCTCGAAATGAAATCTTTAAATGGTTGATAATCTTTTACAGTATCATTGATAATAGCAACTATACAACACACTTCATTCACTAACTCCTTTTTTAAATATTCATTAACATGATCAATTGTTGGAAAATGAAGAACAATTACATACCCAGGTGATGACGGTTGTCCACAAACGTCTGAAGGATGAATTATATTGCCATTTCCTAGTTTGATAGACTCTCCTATTGCTAACTTAGCTCGTAATGGACCTGGAATTTTTAATTCATTTGCCTTCACTCCATCAAATTTACCAAAAAATGTTGGTAACAAAATATGGTAATTTATTGTTTTAATAGAGTTACATTCAGTCACAATTGGAATAAATGAAAGGTAGTCATCAGTAAATGGTGTAGAATCAGATGTAAATCCTGGAATGTTTTTGTACATCAATGAAGTTGGAGGTAAAAAGTTTGAACAATCCATTTGCTCAAAAAGACCAGATGGAAAGTGTAGTGGTGTTTGAATAAGTTCAGTTGAATAATATGTCATTAAAGCACCTGGATAACCTCCCCAACAACTCCAATCACTTGAAGTAAAAAGAATTTTAGTCATTCTTGGTAATTTTAATTTATATTCCATACAGCATCGTTGGACACCTTCAGGAATATTAAAAATGTATCTATTTTTTTCTAAAGCCAATATAAAAGAAGAACTAATTTCACTTTCTCCATTTCCAAGGACAGTTATTGTTATTGGAGTACTCTTCATAATAGCATTGAAAGAGATCATCAACAATAATAAGATAAGTTATGCCTCAAACTTGAATAGGGTTGAAAAGAATAAAAGAAGAGTTTGACTTAAATCGTGGTTATCTTAACTAATTTCTGAAAATCACTAAAAATAATGAAAATGAGGTGATTGGTTCCTTTTACGCCTTTTTGAGAAATTCACTGAAAAAAAATAATATGGAAGAATCAGAACAAGCTCTCATCAACAAGTTACAAGAAATTAAAGAATTATTTCCAAAAATCCCACCTAAAAGTATTAAAGAAATAATTAACTTATGTTTTTCTTGTAAAAATGTTTGTCATTACATTTATTTAATAATTTTTAAATTATTGATTAATTCAATTAGCCATCACGTGTAATCTTTAGAATTGAAGAATACACCCGAGCTGTTTGGCCTTCTTACAGAACATTTGTAGTTCATCTTATTGATTCATTATGTGATATTACCCTTTCAAAAAATCCAGTTCTGACTGAATATTTTAAATTCAATTTTTCGTTTAGACTTATAGAAATATTGACATTAGTTGCTCTTTGTCGTGATGAACAAAAAAAGTCTGTCCTTTTAATCATTTCTAAATGGAAAAACAACCACACGTTTGACATTAGTTTATGTGAAGAACTTGAGTCTTTCTTTTATTCTACAATGCATTCTTTACAACAAAAAGAAAACAAATCAATTCTAGATGAAGGAAATAATAACGTACCACAAATTCAACAAAACTATTCAACAGATACATTATTTGAACATAGAGAACTCTCTGAACAACAAAAACAAATCAAACCAAGACATAGTAGAAGTCGTTCAAGGAGTTTTTCCTATCATAGTCAAGATTCATTTAATTTTCAACGATCTTATTCAAACAGCCCAAAGAGAAGGTCTTCACCAAGACAACTTTATTATTCTCAAAGCAGAGACTCTTCAAAAAGTATTGCTTCAAGAAGGCTTTCTCCACAACACTCCCCATGCTATTCACCACCACAAAAGAGATTAACACAGACATTCCAACGGTTCGGAAGAGATTCAACACCTTTTTGTTCAAGAAATGAAAGAAAATACTCACCACCAAGAAGTACATCAAGACACTGTAATAGAATTAGAGGAAGATACAGCTTTTCTAGTAGAAAGAATTATTTAAATGACTCAAAAATACCACAAAAAGACAGTTATCTTACAATACCTTCTAATAACATAACTCTAAACTCACCAACGAATAAAGGAAACAAAGTTTTAGGAAATAATAGAAATAACAAATTTAATCCAAAAGAAAGTCAAGAGGTTCATCGTTTTGAAAGAATGACTGATGAAGAACAAGCTGAACTCATTTTAAAAAGAAGAAAAAAATTATCTCTGACAGTTGTTTCATCTACACCCACTGATGGAGATTCGATAAGATTAAAACCACATAACCAACCACTAAACTGTCAGAACACAACACAAAAAATTAATGTATACACTAATAACCTGATTGGTAATACTACCCAACCTAAATTAAATCAAACATTAAAAGAAACAATAAAACTAAGTTTGTAAGTTATCTCATGTTTCGTTAAGTTTGAACCTCTTATTTAATTCTAGTCAAAACCAATGTGATAGTCTTTTGTGATATTCCAGTTGCTTGGAAGACCCAAGGAGATGTATTAAATTATATCGAACATGCTAAAGTAAGTTCAATAGAAATTATTTTAGAACATAAATGTTGTACTATTTCATTTATTAATCATGAAGATGCTTTAAAATGGAAGGTTAGAGGTGGAAATCAACATATGAAGACACTTTGGGGAAAAGAGGTTTGGATGAAGACAAGTGTTTTAAGAGATGACGGTATAGTAGAAGTACCTTTATCAATGATACCAAAAAATGTAACAATAATGGAAAATGGAACGTACAAAAGTAATTGATTCATAATGTGTAAATTATTATCTTTCTTCTCTTAAAAAAAGTAATCAGTAAGGTGTAAATTTGTCTTCAAAGAAATCAGACAAATGCCTCAATTCATCACTTTACCAGAGCCCAACAGAACGTTGGGATATTTATATAATTAAAAATTCTTCTAATGAAAAATTGGTTAATAAAAATAAAATTATGGAATTTTTATTCAATAACAAAATATTTTAATATATTAAATAACTAAATTCCAATAATACTTCTTCATTCTTCCAATAATAGAAACAGATTATTCTAATAAGAACTGCACTCTTCTGCATCCATTCCATCGAATTTGCTCTTTTCCACTTAAAAACATAAGTCCTAATTTCCCGAGTGAATGGATTTGATAAGAGTGTTTGTCTGAGTTCTGTTCGATTCTTTGATATTCCAATTGAGAATAAAAGGGTCTTTTTATTTGAAAAAGTTATTCATCGCTATGGCTGAACATTGTCCAACTCCACACAACGGTGCTAAATACGGAGAGATTGCTGAAACCGTCCTTATGGCTGGTGACCCATTAAGAGTAAAACTTCTTGCAGATACTTATTTAACTGATGTTGTTCAATACAATAGTGTTAGAGGAGCAGTAGGATATACTGGATATTATAAAGGAGTGAAATTATCAGTTCAAGCACATGGTATGGGTATGCCATCTATTGGAATTTATGCTTATGAATTATTTAATTTCTATGGAGTAAAAAGAATTATTAGAATTGGTTCTGCTGGAGCTTTTGATGAAAGTTTAAAACTTGGAGATATTGTTATTGGAATGGGAGCATGTTATGATTCCAATTTTGAAAGACAATATGATATTCCAGGTAAATATTCATGTATTGCTGATTTCCAACTTTGCAGAGAAGCAGTTGATGCAGCTGAAAAACTTGGATATAGATATAAAGTAGGAAATATTTATTCTGCTGATTATTTCTATGATGACGGAGATCATTCTGGAGCATGGAAAAAGATGGGAGTACTTGCAGTAGAAATGGAAGCAGCTGCTCTTTATATGATTGCAGCACGAGCACGTAAACAAGCACTTTGTATGTTAACTATTTCAGATCTTTGTTATGGAAGTGGTGAAAAAATGACAGCAGAAGAAAGAAGAACTAAATTTACACAAATGATGGAAGTTGCACTTTCACTTGCTAAATAAATAAGTAATTGCAATAAATCAAATTAATTTCTTTTTTCATTATTTAAGAAATTTATATAATTTTTTATTATAAAAAATATGAATATATTAATTAAAATAAAAAAAATAAGTAAGAATGTTCATTTTAATTATAAGTTAGTTGTGAAAAATCAACTTCTCCAGGTTTTATATTATGTTTATGATTTGTTAATTCTTCGAAATTAACTAATGCATCACTTTGATATGCTTCATTTTCAGTAAATTTATGTTCTTTTTCTTTTTCTTTTTTTTCTAATTTTTTATTTAAATATTGTTGTTCTTTGTAATCTTTAATATAAAAACTTGATGAAATACTACATATCATTAATGATACAATTGTTGTAGTGTGAAGTATTGAAAAAACTGTATAACGGTATGAATGGCATTTAAAACTAGAAACAGGAGATTGCCATTGAGTTGTTCTTAATGTTTCACAGAAATGTCTTCCTTCAATTTCTTCATGAATAAAAAAGAATTCACAATATAGTGAATACATTGTATTGAGAATACAACAAAGCATTACCTTAATGTTATTTATATTATCTACTATTGATAGAATTTATAAAAAATCATAAAACAAACAATAATACACATTGAGGATATCTTCTTTATAATAACACAATAAATAATCAACCCACTCACTACCATACATAATAAACAACTAATACTTAATTTAATAATTATTGATAAACTCATTGGACAACTATATTGATACTCTGTACCAAGAGAATATGAAAAAGTATATTTATTTTTAAATGGATTGCTTGAACATGTTATTGTGTTGTGATAACCATTGAGTAACTAGTATAGTTATTACTCATTGTATCAATAAAATAATTATAACAAACATTTCTTGCTGAAAAACGATCATATTCATTAGGTATATTATCAAATATAAATGTAAATGTAGTTAATATAGATAAACAAAAAGTGATTAAAACTAATATAATAAAGAAGGTTTGATACAATGAACATCCCATTTTTGATTTTACAACTAATAAATAAACATTTTAAGATTTTTTCTTTTTTCAAAAATCAAAAAAATGTTATTCAAAAAAAAAAGTGATATTAGAAATAACAAAAACGAAATTGAGACTTTACAAAGTCAGTATTTAATCATTTCCTCTATTTACTTTTATCATGTCTCAAAGTGGTATTCACTATAACATCCACGACAAAAATGATAGGAACCAAATCATCGAAGAATTAAATAAATTGGAACAATTTCAATATGGAGAACATCCAAGTCGAATTTTATGTGTTTTCAATATTTTATCTCAATACGATCCTAAAGAATTATTATGTATTTTTCAACAATATGGAGATGTAAAAACTATTCATTATAGTACTGTCCAATTTGGTTTTATTGTTGTTATATTTTATGATATTAGATCAAGTAGAAGTGCAGCAAAGTATCTTAATGGTCGTTGTTATCGAGGTCATCAACTTCATATTGTATTTGGAATACCAATAGATATTAATGAAGGACCAAATCATGGTACATTGGTTATTTTTAACATTAACAAACAAACTGATGATGAAACTCTTAAAACACTTTTTTCAAAATATGGAGAGATAAAAGAGATTCGTGAAACTCCATCAAGAAAATATCATAAGTTTATTGAATACTTTGATTCAAGAAGTTCTGATGTTGCTCTTAAAGAATTGAATGATATTGAAATCAATGGAAGAAAAATAAAGATAGAAACTTCTAAACCAAACATTTCTAAACTTATCTTTCTTCAATGTGTGTCAAATCTTCTTGGTATTCCAAGAGAAGTACCAGTAATAATTCCTCCTTCTGAACTAATTGAATTAATCCAACACTATGCACAAGACAATGTAAAGAGTTATAATGAACATCAAACTGAAGCACAACTAGAACAAATTGAATTTGATAGCGAAGGAAATGTATTGGATAAAGTTAAGAACACAGTGATCATTAAAAATATCTCAAGAAAGTGTTCCCATAATACTTTTATTAGATATCTCCAAAATTCTATTTCTACTTTTTATAAAAATGCTTTCTTATTTAGAGAAATCACTTCACAGACAGGTGTTGTTATTGTAACAAATCCATCTGTAATTGTCTCACTGTTTTCATGTTTCAATGACAAAATGATAGAACCAAACCAAGAACAACTTTGTCAAGTGTATTATAGCAGATATCAAGATAAAGACTTCATAGAGAAGGTTGAGGAAATGATAAGATAAAACAGATTTGATTTGTTTAGGAATTAAGATTTTTTTTTTGAAGTTGAAAGGAAACTATAAAAAACAAAACTTAAAATTTAAATTACATGAGTGATAAAAGAAAACAAGATGCTCTTAATTTAGTTCGAGAGGCTGAAGGACACATTAAAACGAGTCTCTTTAAATGGAAACCTGACAACACTTCTGCGGCTTCTTGCTATGAAAAAGCATCAAATATTTTTAGAGGACTCCAAATGTTCTATGAAGCTGGTGAGAATTTTAGTAGAGCAGGAGAGTGTTATCAAAGAGAACGATTACCACTTCCTGCAGCACGAGATTTTGAAAATGCAAGTGATAATTATTTAAGAGCTGAAAAATGGAAGGATATGGTTTCGGCAGCTGATATTGCAAGTGAATTATATGCAGAGACAAATCAGTCAGAGCGTGTTCCACAATGTTTGATTAAGAAAGCAAAAGGGCTAGAACATATTAATGGTGTTGAAGCAATCAAAACTTATAAAAAAGCAATTGACCAATTTGTTGAAATGAAAAAGACAATGTTTATAGGTGAAAGCATCCAAAAAGCTATTTCATTTGGAGTTAAAGCTAAATTATATAATGAAACTATTGACTTTCTTGATAGTGCCATTATCGCACACACGTCAATGAAACAAGAACATGAAGTGAGTAGAGACAGATTATCTCAAATTTTGATTTACTTTATTAATAATAAAATTCAAGATGCATCAGATTTGTTAGATGATAAATTAGACTGTTTCATAGGTAGTGATGAGCATATTTTTGCAGCACGATTTATGGATGCATATGAAGGAGGTGATGTTGAGGCTTTTGAAAAGTTAAAAAATGATTCATCGTTTAGATTTTGTAATCAAGAAATTGTATTTAGAGTAAAGGATATTAACATTCCTAAAGACATTGTTGAAGCGGCTGAAAAAATTAAGAAAAAAGCTCTTCCTTCAGGTCCAATTCAATTTAATGAAGAATTTATGACACAAAAAGAAGTAACTAAAACAGATACTATTTCTACTACTCACATAAGTCAAGAACAAATGAAAGCATTTGAATCATTAACTGCTGGAATTCCAGTGACAATGGGACAATGTGCAAGTACAGTTAAATCACAAGAAATTCCAGAGATGAATGAGGAAGATATGAGTGCTTTATTATAATTGAACCAAACACTTGACAATAACACAAATCCAATTAACTTTAAATTCAATAATTTCAAAACAATTATTGTTTTAGATATAACCAAAACAATGGAAATTAGTATCAGTAACTTTCCAATTTCCTTTAATTTCTCTTAAAGTTAATACAACAAAGTTTTGATTTCTTTTTAATGCCCCAGCATTTATTATTGGAATTAATTCATGATTTACAAGCCCTTGAGAATCATGAGTGTGTCCGTGAAGTACACAAGTAAGTCTTCTTTTATATGCAGGATTTTCAATTAACTTTGATAAAGCTGTACTACCAGTTTGCATAACAGATTTATTGTGTGAGAACTTTAAAGCAGTATGAGAACATGATGGTCCATTATGAGTAACAATAATTAAACTATCAGTTATCTTTGTTGTAGGAACACTACCATCTTCAGGCATAATTTCATTAAGATGTACTTTGTATTGTTCATCAGTTTCATAAGGATATCCAACTTTATGACAAATATGTTTATCGTATTGTGGAACAGAACCACCACATCCAACAACAACAAGGTTATCTTTTAAATGATAAGCACAACGATGAAGATTAATAGAATTTTCCGTTAACTGAACTGAATGATGCATACTATTATGGAATAAAGTCGTTGGGTCATGATTACCTGGAACATAAAGAACAGTAGGACAAAGTTTTTCTAATTCTTTGATAATTTTTTTACAATCATCTATAGAACTAGCAACGATATCAGGATTATCTTGGTTATGGACATTCATATTGGCAAAATCTCCACAAACAATTAGATAATCAACTTTAATGTTATTAATCTTCCAATACTTTTCCATCCTTTCAACAAGGTGCATGTTTTGATGAATATCATTCACCACAGCAATCATTAATGGCTTTTGTGTTTCCATTTGAACAGAAGGTCTTCTGTTTTATTTTTTTCTAGATGAAGATTAAATCCATTTGATTCTTTCTCATCTTCCTCAAATCAAAGAAAATAAATATTTTACAGATCTCTCCCTTGTTATAGGAAATAATCCCTTTATTTTACTTAATTTGTGACTATCACTAAAATAAAGAAAAATACCCAATAATACCCCTACGTGTTGGTTTTTTTCCTAAAATTGTAGTCTTTTTATATCTTACATAAATTTATTCTCATATCCAGTATTTTTATTTTTTGGTTTCTTATGGAAATCAATGGAACCAAATGAGTCCCAAAATGTTTTAAAAAAATGAATAAAATTATAATAAGACTTAGAAATGTAAGACAACTGATAATACATAATAAACAAACACTTTACTATCAATTAAACAAAAACAAATTTTGTTTAAATAAGAACTTTGAAATATAAAAATAATTTGTTAAATTAAATATTTTATGTCTATTGAAAATTCATTTATTACTTTTTTTTTTAAATTTCATTAGAAGAAAGAAAAAAAAATATAATATTTATAATCTAACCATTTCATAATGAATTTTTTGTTTGCAAAGATTACCCGAAAAATCCTTTTAATTGCGATTATTTGTGGTGGAGTGCTTTATATTGTTTGTTAACGTAATAACAAGGATAAAGTAATAAAATAACAATACAGCCATTTGTATTTACAGTTTTGGTATTAAATATATATTCTATTAATATGAGTGAAATATATAGTGATAAAATTGAAGTGTATTATATAATAGCATTACTATCAATTATTTCAAGTGTGTCATGTATTGCAATAATTATTTTTTCAATGGTTATTTCAATAATTCAATTAATAAAAGGAAGTTTATGTAAAATAATAAATCATTTATTACTTTTCTTATTAGGAATTGGGATGGTAATTATTATTATTTCATTTATTGGATTATTCTTTACAAGTTTTGGATTTTTAAAGGGGTATGATATTGTATTAACTGAACAAGAAAGAGGAATAACTGAAACAAAAGTTTGTTAAATAAGATTGTGACAAAAAAAAATGAATAAAATAATATTTAAATAATATTTTAGCAATCATGTTGTTTTGAAATATATTCAGAAAATGAACATATGGTATATTCTGATAATTGTAAGTGTCAATACTTTATACCAAATCAAAATATTTTAGATTCAAAATGTTCACAATGTATGACTATTGTTGAATATGAAAAAAGTTCAAAAACTTTAATGGTACTTGGAGATATTTTTATTTTATTTAATATCTTTTATCTAGTATTATATTGTGCTTTATTCTTTTTATTAACTATTCCATTCTTTAATAAATGGATTAAAAAACAAGCAATGTTTGAACACTTTTAATTAATATTCTTTTTTTTTGGTTAATCAAATTTTATTTTTAAATTAATGAATTAGATTTGTCCTTCAAATGGCATAAAAAGATGTGAATCAGAAACGGTTCTAACATTTCTTGGTCTACTAGTAACTTTTCCAAGACTAACTGACCTAGGTCTCATTTCATTTTTCTTATCAATTCTAAGTACTTTATCAAACCAATCTTTATTAACTGTTTTCATTGCTTTAATCTCTTTTTTTAAGTCAAGAATTTGTTTTTTCTCTTTATATTCTTTTTCTGTTTTTTCTTTTAATAAATCAATTTTTGCTTTTAATTCTGCATCTGCTTGTTTCTCTTCTGGTTTTATATCTGTTTCTTCTTCTTCTTTAACTTCAACAACTAATTCAGAAAGTACAGTAACAATACTTTCCATTAATGTTGGTAATGAATAATTAAAACAATCTAAGAAATCGGGGAAATTAAATGGATGGTCTACATATTCAAATTGTTCAAAACATATATTTTCAGTATTAATTTTTAATACTGAAGCCTTATTTTGATATGCATCACAATAATTTGGTGCAGAAAATACTGTAATACATGGTGGAAGATCAATATTTTGCATAAAATAATGTAGTTTAAATCCATCTTCCATGACTTGGTGTGCTCTAACTAAACAAATCAAATCATTTTTATTTAAGAAATTTAATAGTCCTCTTAAGCCATACATAACTGATGTTTGTCTTAATGTATTATCAACAAAATCAGTATTTAACCATGCTTCTAATCTTCTTTTATCCATTGACTCTGGATGTGGTTGGTCTAATGGATCAGACCATAATAAATCACACATAGCACCACTTGTAGGTGGTTCTTGAAATCTATTAATTTCATTGTATTGTGATAATTTTTGAAGTTGAGGTGAAATACCTCCATGTGTACATAAAAATCTTCCTAATCCATTTCCTTCAATTAAAGCAGCTAAGGGGAAACAATCAAAAAGAGTATGAATTTGATCAAGTAATTCAACTGAACTATATTTATATTCACACTCAATATTAAATGTCATATTTTCTGTCATCATTCTACTTTCGTGATTTCCACGAAGTAAAAAGAACTTTTTTGGATTCATTAATTTTTGGGCTAAAAGATAAAAAAGGACTTCACAACCAAAATCTCCTCTATCAACATAATCACCCATAAATACATAACTACAATCTTCATTTTTTGTAATATCAAAAATAGTTAATAAATCATAAAATTGTCCATGAATATCTCCACATACATATATGGGTGCTTGAAGAACTAATAAATTCGGTTCATTACTAAGAACTGTTTTTGCTCTTGAAATTAATTCTGTTGCACATTCTACTGTTAACTTACCTTCTCTTTGGAAATGATTCTTTAATAATGTTAAATTAATACTACCATCTTGATTAAAGAGAACATTCTTTTGTAATAAACGAGTTTCAACATTATAGTGTGTATCTATCGTTCGTTTTCCTAAATTAATTGGGGTATATTCTTGATGTGTTTTTAAACTATATCTAATCAATACCTCATTTAAAAAAAAATAAATTTAATAAAATTACAAACAACTCACCATCCGCAGGGGTACAACTCGCTACACTTTCATACTTTTGTAATTTAGGACGTTCAAATTTTTTTACCTTTTGTTTATGAACTTCAATATTCATTGATTTAGAACTGAATTTTTAATTATTAGGTTTTAATAATTGTACCTAAAAACTATTAAATTATTTTTTATTTTTTATTTTTAAAAGACAACACCAATGAAATAACAGTTTTTTTAACTCCCTTTTCAATAACTCTTTTTAGGATAATCTCTAAAAACGAAAAAAATAAAATTTAAAAAACTTAAAACTTCATCGAAAAAAATTAAATCTTAAAAAGGAAAGTTAACAAATGGAAATTGAACATACCATCAATGAAGTAGAATCTTGTCAAACACTTGCCTCAAGCGATTATGATGCTGCTTATTCTAATCTTATTGCTATAGAAAAATATGCTAGAAATGAAGAAAAAACAGATTTATTAATTAAAGTTGTAGAAGGATTATTATCAAATGCATGGAAATACAAAACAGTAGAAACTGTTGTTGATGTTTTTAATTTTATTTTAGGAAGAAGGGCACAACAAAAAACAGCAATTACAAAAGCTGTCGAAATATGTTCTAGTTATATTCGTGAATTAAAAAATAAAGATATTAAAGGTTATGAACTGTTAGCAAAAACAATTTGTACACAAACTGAAGGAAAAGTTTTTGTTGATGTTTTAAGAGCACAAATAGTAAAAGATTTTGCGTTATATCTTGAAGAGAATAAAAGATTAGATGAAGCAACTCGAATAATGCAAAGTATGCATATTGAAACGTTTACTTCATTGGATAAAAAAGAGAGAATGGATTTTTTGTTAGTTCAATTTAGAATTGCATTAGAATCAGAAGATTATTTAAGAGTATTATTATTATCTAATAAAGTAAATAGAACAACTATTCAAAGTGAAGGATTTGAAGAATTAAGATTAGAATTTTGTAGATTAATGATTCAATATAATATTCATGAAAATAATTATATTGAGAATTGTAGAATGATGTTAATGATTTATGACACATTAAAATCTTTATCGTCTGAACTTAAAATGGAAATTAGCGAAAATAAATTTTTAAGAAAACAAGAATATTGTTTAGATTCTTCACTTGCATTAAAACTCTCCGTAATATTTTTAATTTGTGCTGATTTTATTCCAGAAAAAAAAGATTTATTAGTTAGACTAAAATCAATTCGTGAATTAGAAAATTTCCCTTCTTATCAAACTGCTGTTCAAATGTTCCTTACAGAAGAGGTTATTGATTCTAATAAATGGATTCCAGTATATATTCAATTATATAATTCTGAATGCTTAAATCATCTTAGTATATCATCTGATGAAATTGCTAATCATCTTAAATTACAAATTACTCAACATAATATTAGAATGATTGCTAAATATTATCATGATATTACTCTTTCTCGTTTTTCTCAACTTCTTAATATTTCATTAGAAGAATTAGAAAAACAAATATGTGCACTTGTTAATTTGAAACAAATTTATGCTAAAATTAATAGACCTAGAGGAATTGTTTCTTTTGTCAAATCAAAAGATCCTAAAGAAGTTTTAGATATTTGGACAGAAGATATTAAACAATTACTTACGTTAGTCAATGATACATGTTTCCTTATTGAAACAGAAAAAATGGTCCATCAGAATTAATTTAAATCTTTTTTTTTTAAAGAACTTTTTAATTTAAAATTAATAAAATTTCATTATGAGCACAACCGTTATTTTAGATAATGAAATTCAAAGCACTTTGATTAATGGTAATTATTTGGAAATTCGTCCTCTTGGAGCTGGAAGAGAAGTTGGTAGGTCTTGTTTTATATTAAAATATATGGGTCATAATATTATGTTAGACTGTGGTGTTCATCCTGCAAAACCCCATGGAGAAGCAGCACTTCCTTTATTTGAACATGCAGATATTGATTCTATTGAATTATTATGTGTTACACATTATCATGTTGATCATTGTGCGTCATTACCATATCTTATATTAGAAAGACAATTTAAAGGAAAAGTACTAATGACCCCTCCAACTAAAGAAATTTTTGGTGAGCTCTTTAAAGAATTCCATCAAATGTCATCAACAATACAACCACCAAAATCCGTTAATCCAAAAGAAGTAATGGATAGAATAGATACAATTAAATTTCATGAACTACAAGAATATAATGGAATGAAAATATGGTGTTTTAATGCTGGTCATATCCTTGGAGCTGCAATGTTTTGTATTGAAATTAATGGAGTAAAAATATTATATACTGGAGATTTTTCTGGAGAAACTGATAGGCATTTACAAGCTGCAGAAGTACCACCATTTCAAATAGATGTGATGATGTGTGAAAGTACATATGGTATTATTGAACAAGAATCACGAATAGATCGTGAAAATGCATTTATTCGTCAAATTATGGAAATATTAAAACGAGGAGGAAAATGTTTAATTCCAGTATTTTCATTAGGAAGAGCTCAAGAGTTTGAACTTATATTAGAAGAATATTGGCAAAATCATAAAGATCTTTGGTCAGTTTCAATTTTTTTCTTTTCATCAATTGCAAAAAAATGTACAACATATTTTGAAAAGTTTACATCATTTATGAATCAAGACTTAAGAAAGAAAACAAAACAGGCATTTGATTTTAAATTTATTAGAGAGGGTAGTTCTAGTGTTGATGATGGAGCTATTGATTATAAACCATGTGTAGTAATGGCATCTCCTGGAATGTTACAAGATGGTATCTCTAGAAAGATATTTGAAAGATGGTGTACTGATAAAAAGAATGGAGTTATTATTCCTGGATATTGTGTTGAAGGAACATTAGCAAAAGACTTAATTTTAGATAGTACAAAACCATTTATTAATTCAGAAGGAGATCAAGTTATTCCAAAATGTTCAGTAACTGAAATAAGTTTTTGTGCTCATAGTGACTTTGCTCATACTCGTAAATTTATTGGTAACGTCAAACCAAAACACCTTGTTCTTATTCACGGAGAAGGTAAATCAATGGAACAATTACATAATGCATTAAAAAAAGAATATCCAGAACTTAATATTTATATGCCTTGTAATACTCAACCAATTAAAATTCCTATTCAACCAAAACATGAAGTTAGATTATTAGGTGAAATTGCATCAAATATTTTAAAAATGGAAGAGGATAATAAAGATAAAGAGATAATTTTTAATGCTGTTTATTTACAAAATACAAAAGATGTTGATACTGTTGTTGTAAAAGCAAAAGATGTTGAAAGGTTTTCTTCTTTCCATTCTAATGAAATATATCAACATTTATATTTTCCTTGTTTAATACCAC